GATGCTATTAAACTAAATAATTATTAAACCAAGTAAAAAATTAAAAACGTGGAAAGAATTTTCACAGGCCGCTAATATTTTTCAATTGTAAGGCTGCTAATTACAATTACAATTAGAAGTCGGAGAACAAGCATCGACTACCAGAAAAAATTTCCCTTCTATCACCCGGCTTTCCTTTGTTTTCAGCTTTAAGAGAACTTACGGTGTTAAGAAAGGTAGACATATATTAAACCGTCAAAATATTTATACACCTTTTCTCCAAACTGGGTGCACCAAATCAATTGAATCTTTAGCATGTGATGATAGAGGTCTGAATGAAGGACTTGAAACTCGCGAAATTTAATTTTTCGACAGAAAAGTGTTGCATTTATCCCAGACCAGAACCAAACGGAGAACATTTTTTTTTTTTTCGAAAAATGAAGTTTCGTGAGTTTCAAGACTTTTATTAGGACCTCCATAATCGCGTGTTAGAGTTATAAATATTTTCACGTTTTATAGAGAAGGACCCTTTTATAACACCTTAAGGAATAGTACGTTCGCCTCGGATTCGTAAATCCGAAACCAAAGGCTAACGCGACACAGTCGGAAACTGGAACGACAAAGTCATTTAACGAGAAGTTGCGTCCCTTCGGTTGGCAACAAAATCGCTGCAGTGCATCGATAAAGTCCCCGGATCGGATATCCCGTAATGACTCGGTAATATAGGTGGCCGGGTATGGTAATTCCGTAGAACTCCGCCTCCGTTATTCCCTCCGCCATTCTCAACTCTAAGTAAACATGCCGAGGTCCCGCCAGCAGGACGCCGGATCTCGTTAGTCCCTTTCAACCGTAACTGCCAATTTCTATTTAACCGCCCTGGACGGATTAATGACAACGTGTCGAGACCTCGTAACGGGAGCAACGGTTGGGTTCGTACCACTCCTTTGGGAGTCGCCATGACCGGTCGTCCGATGTTTCGATCGTCTACCAAAAAATGGCATCGGTCTCGTCCGTCATAACATCGGTGAGTCACTTTTTTCATTTTTTTTTAACGCTTCCTTAACCCTTAACTGACATGGATAGGATTGAGATGATTTAAATCTTTTGATTAAAATCGACGATTTAAACTGTGAGTTTTGTTTTTGAAGTCAACGATTTTAATTGTGATTTTAAAAATCAACAAATTAATTTTTTAAATAAATCATGATATTCATCGAACCGGATTGTGAAGTCCAATAGATCTTGAACATTTGTAATCCTTAAGGTGGAATGAAAATCGCATCTCAGTGGCGAATCGTTTATGAAACTTCTTTAAACAGGGTGTAGCGAAATGAAATGTAAATTTTCATGAAACAACATTTTTTTTATTACGAAAATTAAAAAATTACGAAAATTAAAAAAATGTTTATAAATAAATTTAAACACTTTTAATGAGTGCCGAGACCTTCCTTAGGACCTCCATCTTCACGTGGTAAAATTTGAAACGATTTAGTACTCCCAAATCTGATAAAAGTGTCATAAAGGATCCTTCAGTTCACTTTCGTATCACCTTAAGGCCCACAATGGCTCTGCTTTGTTCGTTCCATCTTTTATAAAGATGTGCTTGCAGTTAGTTGAGTCACTATTCTTCCTTATTCGAAGGCACTTTACGGTCAATCAAAGACGTTTCTATCGGAAAAGAACTTTTCCTTCCTGCAGCGAATTCGAGGTCGCAGCTGCGATCGCTGAATCGATCGATTCGTCATCGATTCGGAGTCTCGTACCAGGAGACGATCTCCCCTTGGAGAAATCCCGGACCTCCCTTTTCATCCGAGAAGAATGAGTCTAATGGAACGAAAGAGGGCGATGATGCACCCCAGAAAAGAACGTTGCGTCCTTGTTGCATCCCCCCCTGCATGAGGAAAGACACATTTGTACTATGTACAAAAGACAACATTATTTACCAAATTTTGCTCTTACTGCGGTAATTCGTTTGTTATAGTAAAAAATATTGCACCCATGAATATAATTATTATTACATAATTTGCATTCAAATACATTTTACACGTTGCATCCCCTCTACATGGAAAAAGACACATTTGCCCTCTGAGCAAAAAAAACATTGTTTATCAAATTTTACTCTTACTGCAGTAATTCGTTTGTTATAGTAAAGAATATTGCGTCCATGAATATAATTATTATTATATAATTTGCATTCAGTAACAACATATCTGCAAAAGTCATTGTTGGTTTATTTTCAAGTGCTTATATTTATTAATCTGTCTAAAAATTTGTATTATGACTGTGGATTATTTTTTTGAATCGGTTAATGAGAGGAGATTTTGTAATCTTTGCCTGTGTTTTGTTATAACAATTTTCCTCAAGGGTCTCGAAACGATTTACTCGTAAAGGGGTGGAGGCGCTGAATACAGATACGACACCCACGCTCCTCTTTCAAGTGAGATTAAAAGTGGACCTTTAAAAGGATCTCTCGTCTTTTCGGGATTAACAACAAAATGAGCAAATATTGACTCACCGTGTAAAATTACAAAGTCTCTGGCGAGGGAAATACTTTAAGGATTATTTTTCACTCTGCTTGGCACCTCTGTAATTTGGAAAATTAATCCTGCAACACGCGAAATCATTCATCGGTTTAACCCTTTTAGTGCCGAACGACGATATATCTTCATTTTACAAGTGCTAACAACTTCGGTGGGCACTAGAAGGGTTAAATAGCCTTTCGATGAATTTCCCTCGAAAAATTCCCTCCCTTTTCAGGATTAACAACAAATTGCGCAAACGCGCGCAAGTCAGTGAAAAATTACAAAAGCTCACTCTTGGGGAATATGTTATGAAATTCCTGGAACTTTCTGAAACCCTTTCCCGAGGCATCCCTTTTTTCCCTTCGTCCCTTTCTTCGAGCATCTCTCTAATTTGAAAAATTAACCCTTCGACGTACACAATTTTTTACGAATTAAATAATACCTTGACGCCATAAGTTTCCCTCGGAAAATTCCGAGCCGATCGTTTCCCTAAAAACTTTCCTTAATGGATCGAAAGTAAACGAGCGAAACACGGTCGCCATTCCATCGCTTTCCTTTTTCCTCGAGAAAATTCCTCCCAGAATCTCGCTTCTCCTTTCTTGCTTTGTTCTCTCTTTTTCTCGACGGTCTCACGTTCGATAACGATATACTTTCAAAGGACGGATACCAGAGGTAGATACCAAGAATTACGACATCGACTTCCTTCGACTCGTTTCTATCCCCTTCTCTGTTTGGCTCCAACCTGCGAGAGGAAAAGAGAAAGAAAAAATGAGAAAAATAGTAATAGAAAAGGAGGGTTGTACGTACGTGTGAATCGGGACGAGGGTCGACGCGTGTGCACTCTCGTTACTGGCGATGCACTTTGGTGCATTGAATGGCCGGTGCGTGCGAATGGAAGTCTAGTAATTTCAGACTTTTGTTCAAGTGGTCCATTTAAACCACTGACCGTAAACGACGAAAGGGACCAGGAATATTTAACGGAACGAGAGAAACAGAGAGAACAGCTCTCGAATAAAAAAAAAGTCGCGTAGGTCTCCTAAGAGTGTTAATTATAAAAGCCATTTTTCCGCTTTAAAAAGATGGAAGGTGATTATGGACAATTTGACACGTCTATTAAAAGGGAATATTAATTCTTGCAAGTATTAGATACGGAGCTATTCATTCTTATAAGTTTAAGTTAAGGTGATTCGAAAGGGTCATTCTATATTTATAAAAATAATGAAAACATTTATAAAACTTTTCTCCAAACTGAGTGCACCGACTAACTTCAAAATTCAACTCATGTGATTATGAAGGTCCTAATAAAAGGATTGAAATTCACGAAATTTCATTTTCCGAAAAAAAATGCTCTTTTTTCGTTCTTATCCGTAATAAATACAGTTTTTGTTCAAACAATGAAATTTCCAAATGAAAATCGATTTTCCAATTCACAAAAAAAAGTTTTTCATGAAATAAAGAATGTTTTTCGGAAATTATGGAAACTTTAAATATAGAAACTAGAAATTTACGAAACAACACAAAAGACAGAATAGGATATAACATCTGGGGCAAGTAGGTGGACCTCCCGATTTTTTTTTTTACTTTTCGACGAACCCTTCCGTTCTTAACCCGAAGTTTCGTTCCCTTTTGCCATAATTTTACGGTTTTGGGAGATTAATCGGGGAGGTCAATAATTTTTTTCCCGCTTAAATGATCCACTTTCGACCAATAAATTCTCATGGATGCTCCCCAATGTCGCGATTAGGGCGTTATACGTTTCGTCTTTTCATTTTTGACCTTTTAGGCGCCTTCTTGCACCCTTTTCACCCCACGTGTCGCATTGTCAGACCTTTCAAAAATGTCGTACGCTCGATTTCCCCTAACCGTTAATACTCGGATTTTGGCACGATTCTGGCATTTCGTCCTAACCTGGGAAAAAGGGGAGCCACGATTTTTTTTTCATGGGCGTGCGGTCCGAAAAATCGGAAAACTCGAATTTTCCGACGAAAGTCGAATCCTTCCGAAACTGACCCTTCGTGATGTCAAAAATATATCATGACTCCAAGTATAAAGTCGATTTAATCGACTACGGTTCAGGCAAAATATTAGTTAGATAATGGGTGTCGGGCAAACAGAATGGACAATGAAAATTTTCCAACTTTTATTATAGAATTGCATTTTTCTTCTCGTGATATGCGGAATATCAACTTGATGTATGAGCGTCACGAAAATCCGTGCACGAACGTTACGAAATTCGACAGAAAATTGTCTCGAAAATCCATTCGACCTGTTCACAGCTGAAATATACTATAAGATTAAACAATCTACCGTTTTAAAGAAAAAATGGGACTTGTGATATTGAACGTCGTATTTAAATTATGTTTTTCTTGCGACATTATACGACATATTTACATCGATTATTTTTTCCTTGCGATATTAGTCGACATATTTGCATTGTTTATTTTTTCCATACGATATTAAACGACGTATTTACATTGTTTTTTTATTTTCTCGTTGCAGATACCTCCTATGAAAAAGCCTGCAGGAGGGGCAGCGCCCCGGCCACCCCGGTCCTGGGAGCCCGGCCTCTGGACGTGACGCCGAATCGAATCGTCGTGAGTATTCAAAAAGTAAACGTAAACCTTTGCTCGTCGAAGTGAGGGATGACGAGCTTCGGGTCCAGCGATCCGGTTCCCCTCGTCGTAAAATCACTCCTTTTGTCCTTTTTCCTCGCTTCGATTGTAAATTGCGCGTTCGGGAGTGGTCGGCGAATCTTTAAAGGGGGGCGCGTCTTTGATTTGCGACTTTCGGGAGAAACTGAACGTCCACGAACCTGGGATTCATGGATCTAGGATGAGATGGGTGGTGGGAATCTTTCACGGATGAAGCTCGAGATAAAAAAAGGAAAAGAGGGTGCTCTGCTAATGATCACTCGTTTTAAAGAAAAATGACTAACAGTTTAAGCACGTACACCTTGATCGTTCCCGTCGTTTAAAATGTTATATCCTTAAACACAGGGTGCATACGAAACATAATTACAATTTTTCTACCTTTTGGCACGTGCTTTATCGTTCTTAAAAATGGCGTCTGGCAAAATGGCCGCCCCAGTCGCTCGCTTTCCGTCTCGCGCTTCTCTCCCTTCGTCCTAAATCTCACTTTCGGCTCCATTCGTCATTCATAGTCCATACTGGGACTGGTTTCTCGGGCGACCGCGAGTTCGCCCGTCGAGAACCCCCGAAGACGTTTTTGTGCGCTCCTCTAGGTCGACCGAGGCGTCCCTTCTGGAAGGGAGCCGAGGGGCCCGCGCTTCTTTTCGCCGGGAACAAAGCTGCCCTTCCGAGCGAGAGGATCCCTCCTCGACTTGCTTACCGTGGGTCACCGGGAAGCCGCATCTGCGCCAGTCGGCAAGGAGATTCCGTCGCGGAATAATCGCGAGAAAAGTGAAACTCTGCCGTTGAATAACGCCAAATTCGTGAGTTCGAATTAGAACGAAAAAAATTCCTTTCGACATGTTTCGCGCAAAGTTTAATACAATTTGCTAATTGAGTTTTTTTTTTTGGGCGCGGAGATTTCGTCGCGGAATAATCGCAAGAAAGATGAAACTGCGCCGTTTAATAACGCCAAATTCGTGAGTTCGAATTAGAACGAACAAATTCCGTTCGACACATTTCGCGCGAAATTTAAACAATTTGCTTCGCAAAATTCGCCAGTTAAAATTCGAGCGAACAGATTCCTTTCGACATATTTCGCGCGAAATTTTAACAATTTGCTCGTTGAATTTTTTGTTGAAATTTTGAGAGCCATTAAACGAGGAAAACCTCGATATCTACAAACTTGCCCGAGAGCGATTAAACGCGTTTTAAGAATCCGAGATGCATTTCTTGGTTGGACATCTTGGTGCTTGCAGATCATTTCAAAAATTGAATAACGTCTTTGCACTCGTACATGATTTCGAATATTTGGCTTCGGAAGCTTGTTAAAACAGGCTACCTATCGTGAAATACAACCTCGAAATACATTCTCGTCCCGATTTGCTCTCGTTCTATGGACGTAAATACATTCGCGATCCTGTTTGGATTTACCCCCTACTCGCAGTATTCCGGAAGTGTCGGATAAATTCAACTTCCGAGTCCGACAACGATCTGCAGTGTTTTCTCGAATTTTCGCGACAACCTATTGAGATCATCGACCGAAAGTTGACTTCCTAGGAAGTACCCTATATGGAAAAAAATAAGAACCTTAAAGACATAAAAGCCTATCTGATAGAAATGGTTGTTCATCATATGGTTAAAAACGATCCCATTAACGGATAAATCCAGTTAATTTTACTTTCTTACATGTACAGTTAGTAGAAACGTTTCTGTAAGTTAGCTGTAACTGTAGCTGAAAATATCTGTTAATATTAATAGTAACGAAACTAGTACATTTAGGCAGCGTCCCAAAAGAATTCGCGAAAAAATCCTGAAACTATCCTCGAAAGAGGGATTTCTTGCACCTGGAGGGCAGAAGGAGCTCGAACATAATCGTCTTCCAGGGAACAGAAACCGTTCAGAATGACAGGGGACAATTCCGTCAAGGAAAGGAACTCGAAATTTGTCGGTATTAAATCGTCGCGTCTCTTCGTGAAAAAGACTCCGAGAGGGGATCGAACGCGAGAAAATTCGCACGCGATTTAAAAACTCGATTCGCGCTGATGAAGAAACGGAAAATGTGCGTTGGGCCGATGGAGGAGGGAGATGATAAAATTGTCACCGTCATCGTCAACTATTTCACGGCCAGGGTAAGTGTCGAGGAATTCTGGACACTAATTCGACAGATATTGATATCATCGAAACAAAAATTTAACTTCGCGCAAAAACAAAATTTAATTCATTTAACAAAACCGTTTATTTTTATTAACTAAAGTGTAAAGCCAAGTTCCCATGTGCGTACCCTTATAAAGAAACTGTGTTATCCTTCCCTCCTGATCGAAAGTCTAATTTCGGCGCCATTTCGCGTTCACAGAATTTCTTCTCGAAGAGGTCCTTCCGGTCGAACCCCCTGAAGAGGACGAAGAGCGTGACGAAGTTGGAGCGACAGAAGCAGCGAGGTGCCGGACTTCGCGGGTGTCGGTCGCACGAATCGCTCCTCTGCGGACAGGCCGTCACCTCGATGGACCTCGCTGCTGTTACCCCGTTACATCCAAGCCTACTCGGTCGGCCACACTGCTTCCAGGTGACTCCCAGCAACGGGGGACCCAAGTACTTCAGCTGCAGGACCGCCCACGAGCGGGACCAGTGGCTGCACAGGTGAGAAAAACCTAGTTAAATGAACTATTTTTTTTAACGAATTTTCATCACTGAGGAAAACCTTGTTAAATTAATAGTTTTTTTGGTGTTTAACTAGTTTTCATCGCTGAAAATTCGAGTACTTTTTATGACAAAATTACGTGTTGTAACAGTTACTACATTTTTTTTTACTTTTTGGAAGTAGTAAAATGGACTATTCTGTCTTTAACATTGTTAATATCATTAAGATATCATTATACATCTCAAATGCCTAACAGTATTTTGTTTCATTGTTTTGAATAGTGGCTAGACAGGTGTTTTTTTTTTTTAACTAAGCGGCTTCTTGTTGAGCCTGGATAAAGTTCGGATTGGTAGATGTACAACAAACGGACATGTTTCATTTTCATAAAAATATTCTTCGTATTTCCACAGCTTGCGGAAATCGGTCCAGCCCGATGCCGAGCAGACTCGAAGAACCGACAACTCCCTACAAATCTGGCTGCTGGAGGCAAAAGGAGTACCGGCTAAAAAACGGTATTTCTGCGAAGTTTGTTTGGACAATACTCTTTATGCACGCACCACGGCAAAGCTAAAGGCCGACCTTTGCTTCTGGGGCGAGCATTTCGACTTTCATCACCTGCCCTCGGTCAACACCATCCAAGTCAATCTCTACCGAGAGGCGGACAGGAAGAAGAAACGAGACAAGAATGTCCTCATCGGTAAGAATTGCCTTGCCCTATTTTTTTATAATTTCATCTACCGCCCTGAATTCTCAAATTAAAACATGTAGGATCGGAGGATTTTTTAGCTAAGATAAACAATGTGTGAGGACTCTCGCCGCCCGAGTCCGTCGTGGCTGGTCTTCCGAGAAGTTTAGGGGGGCGAGGGGGGAAGACGTTGGAAGGCGAAATCCGTTTTTTGGGAAGTCAGTCGAGCTTCGACGCGCTTGAGAGACGGACCGGCTAATTGGCCTTCGCGTTCCTTAGAAAACGTATACCCGTATGTTTTTTTTTTACATGGGAGTTGTATTGATGAATACAATTTCCACACATATATTAACTTAAATTAATATTATTTTAATTAAGTACTAAATTTCGTATTATTTAAGGTGATATGATAGTGATATCTGAGGAGTCCTTCGTTTATGAAACCTTTCTCCAAACTGAGTATACCGAAGTGTTTGAAATTTTACCGCGTGAATATGGAAGCTATAAAAAAGGTCCAGGCACCCATGAAATATCAATTTTTTTATAGATTTAAAATTTGTTATAAAAAATGAAATTTCACGGGTGTCGGGACCTTCCTTACAGCCTCTACATTCATATTATAAAGTTTGAAACGATTCTAGACACCCAGTTCGGAGAAGTTTCATAAACGAGACCTCTTTGACGCAATTATCACATCACCTTAATGCATTTCAGTATTGTCGAGATAATAAATTTAAATTTTTGTCTTTGACAGGTTCAGTTAGCATACCGGTACACAACGTGACGTCACGATACCTGACGGAAAAATGGTACGCGGTGGTGGGCGACAAGGGACCGTTGAAGGAACCTCCAGCCTTAAGGGTGAAATGTCGTTTCCAATCGGTCGACATCCTACCGGTACAGGTGTATCAAGAATTTCTAGAGTACCTGAAGACCGACTACGCCTCGCTCTGTGAGAAACTCGAGCCGGTGATCGGTGTTAAAGCTAAAGAGGACATCGCCACTGCTCTCGTGGCAGTGATGCAACGAGAGAAGAAGGCCCCTCAATTCCTGGCCGACTTGGTCATGATGGACATCCATAAAGTAGGTAAGTATCACACCGCATTCTCATTTGTGTAATGGGGAAAGGCAAAGCTCGATTAACATTTTACCTGGTGATTATGCAGGGCGTAAGCCTGAAATTTCAATTTTTTTTTTTTTTACCACGTGAATACGGGGGCCCTAAGGAAGGTGCTGACACCCGTGAAATTTCATTTTTTTTACAATTTGTTCCTGAACATTTATTAATTTTTGCACAGAAAAATTAATTTCTTTGATGTCGGGACCTTACTTAGAGGTTTCACATTTAAGTGATTCAATTTCAACCAATTCGATATACCCAGTTCCAGGAAAAGTTCCATAAACGAATGATCCTTAAGGTAATGTGAATGTGGCATCTGAAGGGTCAATTGTTCATGAAATTTTTCTCCAACGTGAGTGTACCGAATCGTTTCAAACTTCACAACGTGAATATGCAGGTTATAAGGAAAATCCTGACACCCATGAAGTTTATTTTTATAAAAAATTAAAAAATATCTGTAAACAAATTATTTAAATTGAAATTTCATGGGTGTTAGAACCTTCCATATAGCAATAATATTCACGTATAGTTCGAAACAATTCGGTACACTCAGTTTAGAGAAAAGTTTTACGACGTTCACATTCCCGTAAGGTCGATTCAGATTTTTTCTTCGATCGCATCAATAGTTTAAGGTGAAGCATAATTTTGTAATAAATTTCAGACGATGAGAGGCTGACATTTCGAGGGAACTCGCTGGCAACAAAGGCAATGGAGGCGTACCTTAAACTGACCGGAGATAGGTACCTTCAAGAAACCTTGGGAGCCGTTGTCCGAGGAGCCGTCGAAGGTGGCGACTGCGAAGTCGACCCCCTTAAGGTTGCCTCGGTCGCAGCTCTCCACAAACAGCAACAAAACCTCCGAGCTGCCGTGGAACTCGCGTGGAGTAGGATACTCTCAAGCCACGCACACTTCCCTTTGGAATTGCGAGAGTGTTTCAGGATTTTCCGGGAAAGACTTGCGGAAATGGGAAGAGAGGACATCGCCGACAATCTTATTTCCGCCTCGATTTTCCTCAGATTCCTCTGTCCCGCCATACTCAGCCCGTCTCTCTTCAATATTACTCACGGTGAGTTGAGTACACCGAGGAAAAGAATTCATTGAACCAAAGAATTATTTCGTCAATTCAAAGAATAATTATTTGACTTGAGTGTGCTCAAATAAATTCTCGTAATTCCTAAGAAACGTTGCATCCAATTTATTCGAGTCAAATAATTAATCTCTAAATTAATGAAATATTTCTTTGATACTATTCAAGGAAATGTTTCTTTTGTTAAATGAAACTTTTTTCAATCGATTTTTAACATTTTTTCAATTTAACTAAATTATTGTGTGAATTAACAAAATATCTCTTTGGTTCAATGAAATTTTTTCTCAGTCTAGGATTAAAAATGTAAACATTGTTACAATTGATTTCGGTCTCCCCTTCCAAAGTGGAAATTAATCGAGGAACCCGACGACAGGGCTAATCAAAGTGTTCATCAGTCGCGTAGAAGACTGCACTGGAAATTGCAGAGAAGGCAGTCAAGTTCTTTTATGTTTAATAATAAAGGTCGAGGCTCCGGAGAGGCGAGGGAAAGTAATTGCTTTATTACTCTGGGAATTGCCGAGGAATTAGCGGCTCTGTAATTTTCGCGTGGCGCAAGGCCGCCCTTCGTCAAGTAATCCTGATGGGTACTTGGAGTACACGAATGCGCTCGCCCTGTACTCGGTGGATCTCCCTTCTTTACATCGTCACTAGTCTTTAATTACGAATTAAATTGCCTCAGACGTGGCGTGACTAATAACCGTCTTTTCGCAGAATATCCGAACGAGAAGGCGGCGAGAAATCTCACCCTCGTGGCGAAAACCCTACAGACACTGGCCAATTTCACCAGATTCCAGGGCAAGGAGAACTTCATGGAGTACATGAACGACCTCCTGGAGCGAGAGGCATCTGCCATGAAGAATTTCCTGCAGCTTATTAGCGTGAGTATTTAATAACTCGAGGAGCTATTCACTCGAAAATCAGTGAAACGATTTCTTTCGTTTAGAACGGATTGCCTTTGGTTTCATATGATTTAAACTTTACAATGTGAATATGGAGACTATAAGAAAGGTCCTGACACTCATGAAATATAAATTTGTTTATAATTTGTTTATAGATATTTTTACAATTTTTGGATAAAAAATCAAACTGTGGATATGGAGACCTTCCTTATACCCTTCGTATTCGCGTTGTAAAGTCTTAAACGATTCATGAGCAGTTGACATCTTGGACATCACATTCTACAATTTTCCAGATTTGTCCGAAAGAGTAATGAACATTTTCTCGCCGATTTTTACAGAGTCCTCTGCCAAAAGACGCGCCATCGAACAACTCCTTAGAATTCGACGGCTACATAGACCTTGGCAAGCAACTCTCGTTGCTGCACGCTCTCCTGCGCGAGAGCGTGGCAGCTTCGACGTCATCATCGCCGTCATCCCCGCCATCCAGGTTGCCGGAAATCCTGGAGAGGATTTCCCTAGCTCTGGACCAACCTGGCCCGAGTCCAGTCCCAGCTTCCAACCGGTACCCGAATCTCCAGAACAACATCTTCCGCTACAACGATCCAACCATCGCGAACAGCAACACGAATCTCTCCATCTCTGCCACGTCAACGCTGAGCAATCACAGTACATTAAACGGAACCACCAGAGACAGCAACGAGATTCTACAAACGAACACCCTAGGACACAACAGTTCCCGCAGTCCAAACGTAATCCGAGCAGCAACATTGCCAAGGAACGCATACATGCCAACAAACGGCAAACTACAACTCCAAATCAGCACCGATGACTATCCATTAGAACCCCCAGCGTTCGTTTCTCGTTCCCCAACGCCAGTTTCGCGACAACATCGGCCATTAGCCTCGAATCGGTCAGGAGCGGGCTACAGATTAACTGCCAGTGCCAGTCTGGCCAACGTTAACCACTGCCAAACGCATCCGACTAGTCCAACAAGATCGGAAAGTCACAGCAACCTGAAAGATTCGAATTATAACATCACTGGTCAGGGCAATCCGACAAACAACGCGTCCCTAAGTCAGCACCACCGGCACAACATCGCCAGGTTGCAGAGCCTAGACATGCACGACCAGGACAACTTCAACCACAACAGCTACAACGTCTCCAGGTCAGGAAGTCGGAATCATTGTCACAGAGAGGAACACGCGAACCAGACCCAGAACTACAACAACGTCTCCAAGACGACCATCAACGCGAACAACCAGCCGAATCTGACTCTGCCGATCAATCAGCCCAACAACAATTACTCCAAAACTGGGAACTTGACGGGAGCTAATGGGAATCTGGACGAGCTTTCGGATCTTCTCAGATATGCTGATGATGAAGTGTCGGAGTCCAAGTCCCAGAAGGGCTCCCAGATCTCCATCTCGCAGCTCAGCAATGTCGCTTCTTCAGGGTACCAGAGCTTCGCTGCCTACAGTCAAAGCTCCAGTCCTGTTGATCTTAGCAACAATGCCAATGCACATATCATTAACACCGCACCTTTGGCTTTTGCTAATCCTGTGTATCATATGGAAGCGACTCATGGTAGGTCTGGACGAAGAGGAAGTAGCAGTTCAGAAGAGAGAGATGGAAGTGGTGGTGGTGTTGAAGTTGTTAGAGGTGTTGATTTGAGCCCCTCACCGCCACCACAACCTATGAGAAATGTACAGAGGAATGGACAGAGTACTCAGTGGAGGCAGGGCAATGTTGCTCATAGGACGAATTCAGAACAACCGCAACCCATTTGTTGTCCGAAACTTAGAAGACGGCTTTCTTTGGACTCTACTCGCGATCTTTCTGATACCAGTGAAGAAGAGAGTTGCGCCACCAGGAGGAGTAAATCTCGGAGTCATCGAAGCATCGACCAGGTGAGGCTCTGCAGAGATATCATTAAGAGGGTGTAAAAGTGGCATCTGAAGGTTTTATTCTATATATCACTTTTCTACGAACTGGGTGTACCGAATCGTTTTAAACTTTACACCGTGAACGTGGAGACTATAAGGAAGGCCCTGACACCCATGAAATTTCATTTTTTTTTTTTTAATGTGACAGTACCTTTCTTATAATCTACATATTCACGTAAAGGTTCACGTGCGATCCTTCTGATATATTCTTCTTACTAGTCTGGACTGTGTTAAATAATTATTTACAAAATCTGCTAAAAAGAATCATTTAAGGGGATATGAAAGTAGTGTCATAGAGGTTTCGTTCGTCAAATTTTTCTCCAAACTGGGTGTATCGAATTGTTTCAAAATTTACAACGTTAATGTGGAGGCTATAAGGTAAGTCCCGACACTCATGAAATTTCATGTTCCATACAAAAATTTAAATATCTATAATTAAATTTTTAAAAAATTGAAATTTGATGAGTATCAATACCTTATTTATAGTATCCATATTCACGTTATAAAGTTTGAAAGGATTTTTAATAAACGAGACCTCTTTAATGCCACTTTTACAAGGGCCTTAAATTTTGTTTGTAGGCGGAAAAGCATTGATAAATGTTGAATAATATAGAAGAAGCGGTGTTCAGTCGCATATCGTTTGCTGATCATTTTTTGTGTTTACACCTCTCTGTAAATAACAAACTAAATTTCAAAGAGCGCTTATTGCCGTTCACCTGGGATGGACGACTTTCTTGTTACTTTTTCGTTCACGTGTGTAACTAACACTCTGCGTCTCTCTTCGTTTTCAGTACGAAGTCGAAATCGAGAGGCTGCAGAGTAGCGTAGATCGACTGCGAGCTCGTCTGGGAGCCACCGAAGATGTCGATGTGGACGGCGTTGCACCAGACACAAAGATGAAGAGCATCATTTCCAGGTACTTGGTCCTTGAAATTCGAAAAAGTCTTCCTCTTCGTGGTTCATTCCCTGGCGCAATTAGTCTCCATCTTTAACTTGCGTCTCAATCTCGATCGCCTTCCCAAAGAGTCATTTTCGACACCCTTAATCCTGCCACTCTTTATTGCCATTTTCTCTGATACTTCGATATTCCCTTTTGGAGCATTTAGAAAACGGTCAACGATAGAGATCTGCGACATCAAGCTTCATTTTAGAAAGAGTTGCGATAGACGTGGTTTCACTCTTTCCCCACGTTGAGAGAACCGATCACGTCACTCGAATTAAGTTGAAAAAAACCACGTTTTCCTACTTTTGGTTGCATAAAAAAAATGTTAAGGTGATATGAAAGAGTAATTCTATATATATATATATATAAAATGTAAAAATATTTACAACATTTTTCTCCAAACAGGGTGCACCGAATCATTTGAAACTTCTGCACATGATTACGGAAGCTCTAAGGAAGAACGTGATGCTCATGAAATTTCATTGAAAAAAGTATCTGTTCTTGGTTTCAGTCTGGGATAAATAGAATTTTTTCTTGACAAATGAAATTTCGTGAGTTTCAAAACCTTCATTAGGGCCTCCATAATCACGTGCTGAAATTTCAAATGATTCGATGCATCCTGTTTGGAGAATAGTTTTATAAATATATTTAACGTTTTATATGTATAGAATGACCCTTTCATATCACCTTAACCCTTAAACGGAAATTGGGTGATTTTTACTTGATATCATTCTATCATAAATCTGCACTTTGCGTATAAAATCCAGCACTTTACCATAATATTTTCACGTAGGCAGTCGATAAATAATAATCGAAATGAAGAGAAAAAAAATGGGCACCTGATTTTTTAAGAGAGACATTTACATCCTTTTGTATACATTTATGACATGATGTTGGGTAAAAATGACGAAATTTCCACTTCCGAATTAAATAAAACGAAAAAAAAAATTGTCAAGCTAACTCGAAAATTAGAGTAACCCAAAAATTGTACTGATCGGTTCTCCAGCTTCGAAGTAAGATGACCGTTTACATCCGCGATTTCGAGGAACAACCTTTCAGATTTTTCTTATTCATGTGCTTACTGGTCATCTTATTAGCGAAGGACAGATTGAAGTCTCTAGATTCTTCCGTTGTTGGAAAGCAACTGCAAAAGTACCGTTTCGCCTATAAACGAGAACAACTGTTTAACGAAATTAATGTATGTTTAATTGATTGTATGTTCCTGTGCATTCTATCCGCTGCATTTGGTATACTCTGGCTTGATCTGGACCTTGGTGTAAGAGTCAATTATATTTCTAAGCTTCGTAACATTTCTTACATACGCCACACGCGTCTTAGCCCTTTAATTATGCATTTCTTGGTTTTTTCTCGAGATCATGCGCAGCCTCACAAAAAAACGCTTCGTAATTGCGATACCAGTGTGTTATCCTTTCGCTTCCTTTAATAACGAATCATCATTCTCTCTCTCTCTCTCTCAAACATCATCCAAATGCTTCATTCAACACGTCGACTCTCTCTTTCTCACTTTCTCTTTCTCCTTCTGTCTCTAAACATCCAATCAAACACAAACACTCCGAGAATTTTCTAACAATCGCTTTGATACCGTGCACGGACATCAGGGTTGGGTAGGTATAATACGTCATGTATATTATACGTAGAAAACGTGTATATTACAACGTGTAATATGTTCATAATTTTCGACGCAAGCGCTAATAATATTACGCCCAAAATAATAAATCCAATAAAAAATTTGATATTAAACAGGGTTAAATCGAAGGAATTTTGAACACAACCATCAAATTAATTCCTTAAAAATTGTTCCGTGTTTACATGTGCCATAAAAGACATTTATAACCTAACGGATATCATACATCTGCAGCAACCGCCATATTGGAAACGTAATTTACTGTTTTTCTACGATTTTCTACAGTAAACTACCTGGTTTACGTAATATACGTCAAAAATTACGAAAAACGCGAAATTACCCAACCCTGACGGACACTCAACCGCCATTTTGTTCTTTCGTTTTTATTTAAGACGCAAGGAGAAAATATCCGCCGTTATAACTCCACTTAATAAAATAAATTCAATCCTAACGAAGGGAAAAACTCTTCGATTCCTCTCTTTGTACTTCTCCAACACACTTCAACCATTGTTGCCAGGACGATATTATGAAAGTCCACAGATTGAAATAATAATTTTTTCAAATTTATTCCAAGCTTGTTTTTAGCTTTAGATAGCATAGTAAAATCTCGCCCTTTTTCCGTTTGAATTTTTCTTTACATTGCCCAAAAAAAGAAGAGAAATGATAATCTGAATTTCAATTGAGTTATTCGTCATTATTTTCCAATCTTGCTTGTCGATCGTTATTTATTCAACGAACAACAGATTTTAATTCTTCAGACGTTTCGATATTTAAAAAATCTAACTCGTCGACAAAAGTTCTTCAGATTTACTTAGAAATGCTTCGTTTCTTCCGTCTGTCCTCAAATGGGTTAAAATTCCCTCATATTTGAGGAAAAATCTTCAAACCTCGCAATAATGACTTCGATAATAACCAAGAGGTGCATCGATTCTTCGTCTCCGAAGCGGTGTACCTCTCTGGGAAATTTTAAACGCATCATTATAAACGCAAAGTATACATTCCGAGTACAAAATAATTCGCGTCAGATATTAAGCTTCCGTTCCTTTATTTTCCTGCCATGGAAATTATCTTCCGAGTCGTTATCTTGGCTACAATGCGCTTGTACAATATTTTGCTTGCCCGTTCATGATCTCGTCAACGTTTCTAACATTTATCAAACGCCAACGTATGGCGGTTTTTTTATGCCAGAAACCTTGACGACATCTGGGGATTAGGTATTATTATTTTGGAGTACTATATTCCAGGTTTTGTTCCTCAGGTTAATCTCTGTGGAGGAGGAACTGCGACGCGAGCAACAGAAGATGTCGGCGGCATTGTCGTACAAGCAGCGCGTGATAGACGCGCAGGAGCAACAAATTGCCGCTTTGGATGCCGCAAATTCGCGGCTAATGTCGTCGAACACAAGATTGTTGTCTGCATTGAGTACCCTGAAACAACGGTACAATGCCAAGACCCAAACGAACAACGAGACCGCGGGTTTGTTGCAGAACATCGCTGATATCGGAGAACTAAAGAGTTCATCCTGCTAAGAGAACCTTTGTGACGACCTTAAGGAACGCAGGAGCAGGAAATTCGCAGATTGTTGTCTGCATGGAGCATCATAAAACAACGGTACAATGCCAAGATCCAGTCAAACTAGGAATGCTGATGAGCATCGCTGATACCGGTGAACTAAAGAGTTCGTCTTGCTAAGTGAACCTCCGTGACGACCTTAAGGAACGCAAGAGCAGGAAATTCTCACATTATGTTGTCTGCATGCAGTATCTTAAAACAACGGTATAAGGCTAAGATCGAGCTGAACAGTTAGATCGCAGATTTGTTGCAGAACATCGCTGATATCGGTGAACTAAAGAGTTCGTCCTTCTAAGTGAATCTCTGTAACAGGTGCAGGAGCAGGAAATTCTCAGTTTATGTTGTTAAACATAAGCCTTATCCGCATCGAGTATCTTGAAACAACAGAATGTCAAGATCCAGCTGGACAATTAAACCGCAGATTTGCTGCAGAACATCGTTGATATCAGTAAACCGAAGAGTTCATCCTGCCAAGAAGTGAACCTGTCCAGCGACCTTCAGGAACGTACAAACATCAAATTGCCACAAATTCGCAGTTCATGTCGAACACAAGACTGTCCTTGTCGTCTGTATTAAGTACCCTGGGACAACGGTGAACTGGAAGTTCATCCTGCCAAAAAATGAACCTTCGCGGCGATTTTAAGAAGCGTTGGTTACCTATTTTTGCTTGTCCGCGATATCTTTTTGTCGAAAGTAGTACTTCTGAGCTTCTAGATTTGCGTGAACCTGGATTTGAAACAGATTTGAATCCTTTAAAAAGAAACGATAACGTTAAGGCAATGTGAAAGTGTCGTCAAAGAAGTCTCGTCCATGAAACTTTTCCCCGAACTGAGTGCATCGAATCGTTTTAAACTTTACGATGTGAATATAGAGGCTATATGGAAGGTCCTAACACCCATGAAACTCCAATTTTTATAAACAAGTTTTTTAAACGTATATAAACAGATTGAAAGAAATTGATATTTCATAGGTGTTGGAACCTTCCTTAAGGTCTTCATATTTATGAAAGTAAAATTTCAAGCGATTTGGTACTTACGATTCGGAGAAAAGTTTCGTAAACTAGATTGAGACGCCGGTTTCATATCGCCTTAAATAAAACGTTGTTTTGGAGGGAACTTTGAAAGCGATGGACCTTTCCCGAAATTCAGCTTTAGGTAGTCCTAGAATAAAAAAGACTTGAGTTATTTGTGGAAACAAAAATCGTCGAAATACCCGGTTGAGCTGTTCTAGGTTTGTGTTAACCTAAAAGGCGAGAAAAATTGGGATATCCAAAGAAAGAGGTTAGACTCTTGGCTCATGGCGGACGACTAGAAGACTTATTTCGAGTACGAAATAGAGGCTACCTAGAGAATAGACACGAATCGATTGCCGTAGATAATCGTTGGTCGAATTAATGTCAATGTATAGGCTAGGCATAAGTTATTTGTACATGAGTGGAGAGGAGGAAGCGGACTTTTTCAAGAAATTGTCGATTCATGCTCGTCAATATCTCACCTCGACTTGGATCTGTGGAAATTGCTCCACTCACTTCTGTACCTTCGAAAATCTCACGTCTTTGAATCGTTCGATCATGAAACGAATAAAAAGACGTTTTTCTTATACACTTGATTTTAAGGCGATATCAAAATGGCATCTGACGACTCAATTGTTCGTGAAACTTTTCTCTTTTTTGGATGTTCCAAATCGTTTCGAGCTTTACAACATGAATATGGAGACTCTGAGGCAGATCCTGACATCCAGAAAATTTCATTTTATGTAAACAATTTGAAATATTTATTAACAATGTTTGAAAAATAGAAATTTCATGAATGTCGGGACCTTCCTTGCAGCCTCCATATTCACGTTGTAAAGTTTGAAATAATTTGGTACATCCAATTTTGAGAAAAGTTTCATAAACGCCTCTGACGCCACTTTCATGCCACCTTAATTAACACCACAATTGACCACCTCTCGACTCCTTTAAACGAATCTGCGAAATACCAAATACATGTATTACGTTCCGCCACGGGCTGGGATTCTCAAAATTATTTATATTTCATCACTGCGAGAAATGTGCTTTTATCGCAGCATTTACATTTCACAGGAAGTATTACAATAATTAATCTAAATTGACAAGGCGTTTTAAGGGGGTGTGAAAGTGGCGTCAGAGGTCTCGTTTATGAAACTTTTCTACGAATTGGGTGTACCGAATCGTTTCAAACTTTACAATGTGAATGTGGAGGCTATAAGGAAGGTGCTGAAACTCATGAAATTCCACTTTTTATAACAACTTTTAAAAATATCTATGATCAAATTTAAAAAAATGAAATTTTATGAGTTTCAGGACCTTCGTTATATCCTCCATATTTATATTGTAAAGCTTGAATCGATTCAGTACTCCCACTTTGGAGAAAAGATTCATAAACGAGAACTCTTTGACGCCACTTTTATATCACCTTAACGATATATTAGGTTGTCCCATAAGTTTCTTCCCTTTTTTTCATAGGACATGAATACACGATGCGGAAGGAACTTATGGGACACCCTAATATAAATCAACCGAATTGTCAACCGCAAATTGTGACGAATTATTCTGTGATTCGAAAAGCTGTCAGTTCGTAATTCGCACGTGAATCTTTGTAATAAATAGATTTTGAGAAATCAGCTCGATACAACAAATGCTTAGGCAGGATGTCTCTAAGATTTAGGATTCGTGTATTTTCATTCTTTCCCCACATAGCTTAACACATGTACCTTCGGCGCACACTGTAACACACTTACATGGAATACCCTACGGAATGAGAAAAAAAATCAACCGTAAACATTGCATTACCGTACTGCGTCGTACTTTATCTGTATATGCGTGTATATTTTTCTAGTAATTTAATTTGCTCCCCGAGTAAATTCTTTGGGTCGACTTTGAAGCGAAAAACGCGTTTTCTGTACTGAGAAAAAAAAATTTCATTGAACCAAAGAAATATTTTGATAATTCAAAGAATAATTATTTGCCTCGGATATGCTCTAATAAATTGGATGCAACGGAATTATGAATATTTATTTGAGTTTGTTTAAAGCAAATTCTTTGAATTATGAGAATATTTCTTGAGGATATTTAAAGAAATGTTTCATCGGTTCTAATGAATTTTCTTTCTCGATGTGGAATTCAATGTCAACTTTCGCGACCATCTGATGCCTTGAGCATCTAATAAATGATGAACGAATGAAAACTGAGCATATAAAAAGCGAGATGGATAAGAGATGCCACTTTTAAGGGCCAGTATTTACTCGCCACCGAAACGCTGAATCTCATTGTGGCAATTTTTTCCACGAGGCCGAGGGATATTCACTCGGAAATTAGGGAGAACAATTTCCTTTTTTCAGAATCGAATGCCTTTGATTTTATTTAATAAACGATAATGTGATTCGGTAACATGTGACGTTACTACGTTCGGCCTTAAAGTGATATGAGTGTCATATATACGTACCGAAAAGTCAACATGTTTATAAAACTTTTCTCCAAACTGGATGCACCGAATTATCTGAAACTTTAACACGTGATTATGGAGTCTTTAAGGAGGAACGCGCTGCTCGTGAAGTTTCATTTATCGAAAAAAATATTGCATTTATCTCGGACAAGAACCAAAAAAAGATATTTTTTTCGAGAAATTAAATTTCAAGGCCAGCGCATTCTTCCTTAGAGCTTCATTAATCACGTGTTAAAGTTTCGGATAATTCGGTGCACCCAGTTTGAAGAAAAGTTTTATAAACATGTACGTACCAAACATCACNATATTTTATTTTTTTGGTACATATATATCACACTTTCATATCACATTAAGGTGATATGTAAGTGGCGTTAAAGAAGTCTCGTTTATAAAACTTTTTTACAAACTAGGTTTATCGAATCAATTCAAACTTCACAATAAGGAAGGTCCTGACACCCATGAAATTTCAATTTTCTAAAAATTCGTTTATAGACATTTCCCCATTTGTTTTTTTTTTTTAAATAAAACTTCATGGGGGTCGGGACCTTCTTTAACAGCCTCCACAATCACGTTGGAAAATTTGAAATAATTTGGTACGCCCTGTTCGCGGATAAGTTTTATAAACGATTGATGCCGCATTGCCATTTTCGTACCACCTTAAAATTCTGAAAATGTTTCGATGATTTACAACGATTTCCCACTGAAACTCATTATTTTTGCTTGCGATTTCCCATGATTTCGAACATTAAAATCCATACTTTCCTGAGTGAATAATCCGACGCAGTGTTGGCTCGCCGAGACCTTCAGCTACTCGACTCTCTCGAGAACCTTTAACCCTTAAGTGATGATATTTATTTTGTAGTTTTTACCAAAGAAAGAACGATTTTGCATTGTATAAATGTTTCTGGCGACGTGTAAGATATCCCCGTTTACTCCGACCACGCGGCCTCGTGCAACCATGACTTTACCTTCGAGAAGAAAGGTCGAAATCGTTCGAGCAGTCGTCTGTTTCATTTTTTTACGAAGACTCGACGACTGGACCGAGACAAAGAGATGTGCTTTGACTCTTACATGCGTATGTACTCTAGAATAATTATTTAATACCATTTGTAGGCCGCGTGTGTGTTGCATTTTACATCACAATATTAACATTATTGTAGCCATTGTCGTACAAGAGCGACTAAATATCGCGAGTTGTATAAATGAATGAACGACTAATGACCGCGTGAACGAGTGAAATGAGAAGAGGAAGAGAGAATGATAAAAGCGATGAGGTAGAAAGGGGAAGGATGAGAAAGAGAGCGATAGGATGAGAAAAAGAATTGTAACTTAGTCTAATCGCATTAAAAGTATTATCTTTCCAACTTGTACAATAGGACTACTGTCAACTAGAGAATGTTGATTTTCTCGCCTTCCTCCGATGTTATTGTATAGAGAATTTTTTCTTTATTTTTTTTTCTTTTCTTTCCTTCCTCTACTTTCGCGATCCCTCATATTTTGTTTCATACTTTGCCACGTCGAGAATCGCGAGCGAGATCATCCTCTACGACGTGTGTCCGCATAATGAAATTAATATATTAACGCTATCTTCGAAAGATTGTAATCGATAAAGGATATCTATTTAAATGATTAGTATGTATAATATTAAGTTTGGAATATTTTGTTTTCTGTAATAGATCGACTGTGTATTTAAGCACATAGTGGTTAACTAGTGCTACACAACAAATAAATCCGATTAGACGTATTGCCTGTTTCATTGACGGTCTGTCCACTTACCTATACCAGATTAATTTGAACAATTCGATGACTGCCTGTTAAGAATTAAAAGTATACTGTATTCATTTACTTCCAGTTGATTAGATATTATTGTACAAATTATCGAATTATTGTGAGCGACTATAAAGGTCAAATAGGTTTAATTAGAACGTAGTAGGCTTTATTGCGATTAAAACAGAGTTTTCTGTCCTAACCCTGTCATAACTTTATCATAACCTCAATAGATGGAAGGGTTTCAATTGTGTACACGATTACAGTTTTTAGTGATTTTTTTAATAACATTCAAATAATTTTCAATTATTTTAACAAACTATGAGTCATTATGCTGTGTGACCATTGTAATTGTATTTCTGGAGATTAAAATTTTTTAAACGTCTAATACCAGAATTTCTAAACTTCCAATAGTTGGACAAGCCACAATTAATTGGGTAACCTAACCTCTCAACCTTTCGTGCATCATGTAATTAATAAGAGTGGTGATACACTGCGGAAATAAAAAATCATCGCAGACAAGAAAGAAATCATAGATTAAAAAGACCTTATTTTTGGCTAAAAAAACACCTTGATTTCATGAATATTGCTTATTAAAAGTAATAAATTATTTTAAATAAAAATGTTCAGTTCTCTTAAATTCTCTGGAGGCTTTTAAATTACCATAACGTTCTTGGTTGCATTACTGAGGGTCTACAGAGATGAGTTGGGAGATTGCTCACGGAAGGGATCATGCGATCGCTTCCTGTGCTGCCTTCTGGTTTCGTACGTTAGCTTTCACCGTTTTTTGCCCCCAAAGGCGGCGCAATGAATTTCTGCTAGGAGCTCGCACACTTGTGATGGCGGTACCATCTACCAGTCGCCGGTGGCGGCGCACGTACTCGTGATGGTAATACCATGCGGCAGTTGACGGTGGTGGCTTACCTACGCTTACCGACACTGTTCGCTTTTGATGGTAAGGGGAGAACACTCGTGACGCTCCATTTGACTTTATCTACTTATCTACTACTATTAAGTACATTGTTGCCACGAAGTCGACGTGATGCGGAGCTTTGGGGCACGCGTCGGTGTCGCGTACGGAACTCTCATGCCGCGAATCTGTGTGAGTGCGATCGCTCCTAGAAATCTACGCACGTCCAACCAGCCAAGCGCCAAGATACGGGTCGAGACGTTGAGCATGTGTGCATTCGGCGCTACACTCGATAAGTATGCGTGAGACTCGAAAACTGCGAAAAATCCTCCCGAGGCTTACCTAACAGCGCATATAAGCCGAGTCATTTCGCGTATGATTCTTACATTTCCCTACTAGCGTCATCGAGCGTTTTCAAGCATTTCTAGAGCGTTTTTGAACGTTTTCGAATGTTTTCGAGCGTTATCTAGCGTTATCTAGCGTTTTTTGACCGTTTTTGAAAGTTTTCGAGCGTTTCTCAATCATTTTCAGAGCGGTTTCGAGAGTTTTCGAGCATTTTTAGACTACTTTTGAGCGTTAGCGAGCGTTATTCAACCGTTGTCGAGTGTTTTTAGAGTGTTTACGAGCGTTTTTAGAATGTTTTGGAGCGTTATCGAGCGTTTATCAAGCGTTTTTGAGCGATATCGATCGTTTTTCGAGCGTTTCTCGGTCATTTTCAGAGCGTTTTCGAGCGTCATCGAGCGTTTTCACGCGTTTTCAGAGCTTTTTCAGGCGTTTTCGAGCGTTTTCGAGCGTTTCTCGATATTTTTCAGAGCGGTATCGAGCGTTTTCGAGCGTTTTTATACCGTTTTTGAGCGTTACCGAGCGTTATTCAACCGTTGTCGAGTGTTTTTAGAGTGTTTTCGAGCGTTTTTAGAGTGTTTTTAGAGTGTTTTGGAGCGTTATCGAGCGTTTGTCAAGCGCTTTCGAGCGTTATCGATCGTTTTTTGAGCGTTTCTCTCTCATTTTCAGAGCATTTTCGAGCGTTGTCGAGCGTTATCGATCGTTTTCGCGTGTTTTTCAAGGGTTTTCGAGCCTTATCGAAGGCCGCACAGTGCCGTTGAGCGTTGTTAAGTGCAGTAAAGTGCAGTAAAGTGTCGGAGAGTGCCGGAGAGTTGCCGCAGAGTGCCGGAGAGTGCCGGAGAGTGCCGGGAGTGCCGGAGAGTGCCATGA